CCTTATGATCAGCGTAGAAATATCAATGTACTTCATATTTATGCTATTTACAATTTCTAAAAATATAACACTTCGAAATATGCAAGAAATATTTTACTATTTGTTAATAGCGCCAGCATTTGAAAAAAGGCACTGTATTTTTGAAAAATGGTTAGATTTCTAGTTAACCTTTCTTCTACAAATGATGCCTGTATGATATATAATATACCGTACGCTTTCTCATCTTCTTCACATTTTTGTAATTTTGAATTCCGAACACTTTTTGCCTTTGCAAAAACAACTGTAGGTATTCATTGATCAGAAAGATAATTCACGAGAGATGCAGGAAACTCTTAATTGTTTTTTATCCTTTCCTCTGCCTTATACCAATCAATAATCTGTCATATGCTTTTACTATGAAATTTTTAGAGACAGATAAATCGGAGATAGAAGTAATTGTATATTTCAGGCATTCATTGACGGCAGCTCGTCTGTTGCACAAGATTCAGGAGGAATTCGGAGTGCAGTTGAGTATGCACGAATTATTTGCTACACCAACCGTATCGTCGTTGGCCCGACGTATCGATCATAAAGATGACAGTGATAATTTGGAGCAGGTCGATCTAGCCCATCAAGTCAGCATTCACGATTTTAAGGATAATGTGTATGTTGAAATTTCATCAGTTCAAATCGATTGTGAGGAAGCGGAAAAGTACTGACGGAAGCGATAAGCATAGCTAACATTCTTTGTACACTGAAAAATAATGAGAAAGTAAGGTGAAAAAAGTGGAATGAAAAGGAGACTAAACATAGATAAGAAAATCAATGATTACTTCATCTGGCAAAAGTTAAAAGCGATCTTACACAATATTTTTATGAATATATAGAATGGAGGGAATGAATTTTGAATTAATAAACATATTATGAATAAGCTTGAGGCTTACATGTTTAAACCTGAAACTTGTTACAGGATGGACTTACACTTACGCGCTTTTTGGCGTTCTACTGATTTGGATCATAGCTTCTCACGTGATATTGTATTGCTAACTGGCGTTACTGGTTTTATTGGCTCTCATATACTTGTCAAACTTCTACTTACAACTGAGGTTGTCAATCGTTTTTGGAACTGTTTAGTTAAATAACTTGATAGTATCTTCCATGGCTGGATCTTATAAATCAATGGTGATACTGCTTTTTTTGTTATCCGGGCATTGGGATTAGATGCTCTACATGAATGGATTCGGAGTTCATCTTGTTCAACTAACTTAAATTCTTAAAGATCACTTCATAAAAGAGATTGAAGTTTGAGGATTCATTCGTTTCAGATGCGAGTTATTTGTTTGATTCGGGAAAGCGCAGGTGTTACCACACAATTCAGGCTTATTGACAGCATTGAAAAAATAGGTGAGAAATTCCATTCCGGTGTCATTCCAAAATTTGTTTTCAAGTGTCGGCTTGTATGATCATAATCATTTCCAGAAAGTAGATCGAAGGTACTTTGGCTTAAGAAAGATTAGATAAACAGATAATTAAAAGAACTACTCATTAGAGAGTATTGCACCTGGAGACTCAGATACATTTCCTTCAGGTATGATGACAAACACGTTGAATGACTTAATCAAAAGTCGAGTTAAAATAATTTCTGGTGATGTGGCACTGATACGACTAGGCCTTAGCGAGGAGGAATATTTATTCTTAACATATGAGGTGGACACGGTCATTCACGCTGCTGCTTATGTGAATTTGATCTTCCCATATCAGGTAGCTGGTGAAATGATATTTCAGCATTAATTAAAACATATAAATCAAACATAATATTAGAGAGTCTGGACTCATGCAGTTACTTCCTTCTTTATGGTCATTTATCACAGAAAGAAGTATGACAAAGTGATTCTATGAAGTGTTATGGACACCAACTAGATATTATCCAAATTCCATTGTAGGAAAAAAGTAATGGCTATCTCTTAGAACGAAATATGTTTATTGTAGGCTCTACATGGTATTAATGTATTGGGTACACGTAATATTCTAGACTTCTGTCATCAGAATAAAGTAAAACCTCTCTATTATCTAAGGTAAGCTCTAGTTTTAACAAACCATTTCCTTTCAATGTACTATCATCTAGAGAGATACTACTATCTAAGATACTATCATCTAAAGAGATTCTACCATCTAGAAAGCGTTTAGAAGAGACTTAATGAATGATGTGAAACAGTGCTGTATAAAATAAAATTTTCCTGTAATTCGGTCTTTGTAACTTCGAAAAATCAAATTTTCGTTTTGATTTTATTTAATGAATTGTTAAAATTCAAACTTCTGATCAGAGTAAGGAAAGGTTGCAATTGCTTGTTTCGAATACATTGCGAAATTTTTGATTTTGACAGGCTTTAATCGGGTCGTCTACTTTTTTAAGATGTATTTAAAGTGAAATGAATTGCAGTTTGCATTTTGCAGCACCAATGCAATAGTACCGTCGAATTTAAAGGATGTCGATGAAGATATCATTAATGATGATGTACAGGGAAAGCTGTTGAATGGCTATGCTCAAACTAAATGGGTAGCTGAAAGATTGGTACTTAATTCACAAATACGAGGACTTCCAACAGTAATCTTTCGACTTGGTATGTTATTACTGGGTTATTTATTATTCATATTGAGTACTGTTTTCGGTAACTGCTGTGAAGTTTCTTTCAATCTATTGTCGTAGATGAAGTCAGGAATGGAAATTAAGAGAGAAATTGATCGTAGACGAAGGAAGTGAACTAGTTTGTGCACGATAAAACTGGAAGGGATGAATAGACAAAGTTGCAGGGAATCAAGCAGCCTCAATGAGTACCGGAGTGTGGAATAAACAAGATTTCATCTATTTGTTAATTTTTTGCACAATTCAAACCAAACTGGCTCCAGATCTGGATTTTGTGGTGTGCTTTTCAAATAACTTTTCACTTTTTCTTCTTAACTCTTTATATCACGACCTTGAAGTTAATAACTTGGCGCAAAAGCCATACCCAATCATGTTTGAAATAAATAATTGGCCAAATTGTCTTCCAAAAAAAGGGTATTGCAGCCAATATGTAATTGACAATAGATAGCCTTAGAGCAAAAAAATTGGCCATTGATATGCTTGATGTGCAGCTACATAGCAATATACGACCAAGACTATTTTAATTAATTAACTATATATCAGTTAATTAACTCAAGCTCGACAACGTCATATAGCCTAATACTTTATGGAATGAAATAACAATCTCATAAAATATATTCAATTATTTGATAATGATGTTGAAGAGGTCTAACTAATAATCATGATTTCTCTTCCATTACAGGTAGAATTTACACCAGTTGACTTCACTTCTTCCTTTATTACACAAATTTTAACAAAAAGTTTCCGTGCTAGCATGGGGAAGATATTTCATTTAACGAACAATAATGCGCCAACTTGGCGACAAATTGTTAATTGGATAAATGATTTTGGCATTCCAATGCGACTAATACCTATGCAGCAATGGGTACAGCTGTAAGTTGACATTACTTCATTATGCAAATATAAAGGTAGCAGAAACGAATCCTGAATATACTTTCGGCAAGGCAATGCTTCTTCATCAGTGATAGCACTGATGAAATTTGTTCTATGTTAAGAGAAGAAATCCTGAAATACTCTATCAAGATGAAAAGAAGTTTTGAGATAGTCTTATCATGTAGTTAAAAGGTGAATATTTTAGAATTAGTACAAGAGAAGGAGCAGAATGCCAACAGTTGCAGAAATTACTTCAATCAAAGTAAGAGCTTATCCGGAAGAATATTACATAAAACCCTGAAATTGATTCCCCTAGATATTTCTGGAATATCCTTTTTCCTCTGGCTAGAAGAAATTTTGAGAAGTTACACTATGCTTGCCAGAAATAATTATTGGACTAAATTCTTTCTGAAGATAAATAGCCAAAATGAGAAGTAATTTATTAAAATGCATCCATTACTCCATAAATTATCTGGGAATGGAACGATTTCCTCCGAATGATCGCTAATATGATTTCGATTTTGCAAGAGGGTGCGCAGAATGACCAAATGGTTATAGTAAAACTTTGCAGGAAAATTTTTGTCAACTTAAAAGAACTTGAAAGGAGTTAATAAGGACTGGAAGAATGAATGACAAAAAATTCAGAATTATCGCATTGCAGAGAAGATACGCTTTTCTCGACATATTCAACGTTTAAGCGAACAAACACAGAAAAAGTACTGAAAGATATGGGTGGCACCTATCCTGTTGTGACAAAAAGTTTATTCACTCATTGGCTTAGACTTATGGCTCAGAAGAATTTTACAGCAATACCAACATCCACTCCTTTTGGTAAGTTTTTATTGATTCATTGAAGCGTCGTTGAATTAGTCAGATTCGGATTCAAAGAGATCCGTCCTGTGAATTTAGCCGAAATCTATCCAAAGTTTTTGAAGTTCTTCCATTGAGATATCAACCAACAGCAGTTTTTACCATCTACCCTAAAGTTTTACTTTTATTGCCATTATGAGGGCTTGTCTCTTCTTACAAAAAGGTTCTCAATGTGATAAAGTTGAGTTATATGGCCTTAGCCCTTTATATGCTTGTTGATTTGACTTCAGGAAAGACAACGGTTGGAAAAGTCTGCATAGTGACAGGTGCAAGCACAGGTATTGGTGAGGCAATCGTTCGAGAACTTGCCTTAATTGGATATATGAAGGTGGTGTTCTGCGCAAGGAGACGAACAAAGCTAATGGAACTGTTCAGCAAGTGTGTCTTGTCTAATAAACATCTCAAAAGCAGAATGAGGCCCTGTCGACCGAGCGATATGAATATTTTTTATTTCTTTTTTTTTTGGGATATGAAACATAGCCAGGCAGGAATGATTATTTATTTCTGGTAAATTAGATTGGAAGCTGAAGGATGCATGTCGAGTAATTTACTACCTGTGCAGTGTGATATTACGCAAATGAGTGACGTACAGTTTGTGGTAAGTCGAGCTGTGGAAACGTTTGGAACTATAGATGTACTCGTCAACAATGCCGGATGCATGTATTATGAGATGATGAAGAATGGACCAACGAAAGTGAGTCAATCACCAAATTTCCTGAGAATTTTCCAGATATTAAAGAGAGTCAAGTCAATTTATACCAGATGACACTATTCCAGAAGAGCTGATGAGAATGTAATTCAGGAATGGAATCTTCAAATAGATGTTAACTGTCGTGGCACAATGAATTTTATTGGAGCGGTACTTCCGCATATGATCAAAGCTGGATCGGGACATATCGTAAATATAACATCTGATGCTGGGAAACGTGTAAGTTATAATGGAAGTTAGATTTTTTGTGGAATGACCAGTATATGAAAATGAAAACATGAAGTGTTCTTTGGTTATACAGCTCTTTTCCATCGGGAAAATTCAGGCATTCCAATGGTACGTTCGAATCGATCATACAAATTTGGAATAATTGCAAATTCTTGTTTCAATGCTTTTATTCTTTATGGTAGTATGACATTGTAGCAATTAAGCAATATTTGAAATAATTGGAAAATCAGTTTTCTAGATGTATATTTCAGGGTTTCGCTGGATTAGCGGTTTATTCCGGAACAAAATTTTTCATCGAAGGCATGTCACAAGCGTTACGTTTGGAAATGGTCGAATACGGTATAAGAGTAACGAATGTACAACCGGGAGATGTTGAAACGGAATTAGGAAGTCATTCCATTGATAAGGAAGTAAATTATTTTATGGGTTGCATTCCGGTTGACACATTTCTGTTGTCCTGATATGAACTCTATATAAAGAGAGGATTTCCATAAACATTCCGGCTATTTTTTTAGGCATGCGACAAGTATGACATATCCAAAGCAGGTCATCCTATCCTCAACTCGCCTGACATCGCTCGAGCAGTATTATACGCAGTGAATCAACCATCTGCGGTTGCTGTCAACGAAATTCTTATTGAACCTCAAGCTACTCCCATATAACTCATTCTTGTTTATCTTTTACGGTCTTGAATTTACACAAAATGATTCGAATGTTTTAATCGCTTGATTTGTTTTTAGTGATATTCGGGCTCGGATTGTTTCATATTTAATTTCATAATATTTGGATAAACTGCTTGAATGTATAGTAATCTTTCCACACTTCGAATTTAGTCAGAAATCCTAGAGATCTTTTAAATCGAAGAATGGATGTAGGGCGATCTATGGTCGGCTATATTGATTTTTTATATCGCATCAGGAGTACCTATATATCGGAAAACGCCGTGGCAAAATAAATGTGGCAAAATTTCGCTATTATCTCAGTGATGATAGTGATAACTTATTGATATGATAATGGTACATAGATGATTGGCTAACTGACTTGTATTATTATTATTTGGCAAAAATAACTGCAAGAAATACATGCTTCTGCTACTTCCTATACCAATTTCACAAATCTCAGGCAAATTACAGAGAAAAGCCAAAGTTAAAAAAAAAAAAAACTTTAATGTAACAATCATTGTTGCAATTTTTTTCCACTCATTCATGTCGGCATTAACAACTACTTTTATCTTTGCCCTAATTGACGTAGTTGATACAATCTGGACAGTAATCACTTTATCGATCTCATATCAAACCGGAAAGCTAGTCATAGATGCATGCGAACTGCACCAGAATGAAGTTGATAACAACTATTATATCGAAGTTAAAATTGCAGGGATTTCATTCGATCTAATTATTCCACCGATATTTGCATAAAATCTATTGTAGAGTGGGAAAATGTCTATGTGCAAATTTCTTCTATTACTGTCCGATAAAACAATGTACTGTATGGAAGAGTACTGTTTATTGTATTCAGTGCTTGAAACGAAAGAAAAAAAGTGATGGAAAATTGGAATCAGAACCAAAATCGAGGAACGGAATACTGGAATATTTGGACCTGAAAAAGTAAGCTGAAGATGACTGATGAATTTCATGCATGCTTTATTATTTGTTGTTGATATGACTGATAAGCGATACTGATAAGCGACTGTTCAAATGTAAATTGCGTGCAATTCAAGCTACAGAGCAGAAGATAGTTCTATCTGAAAATATATACCAATTCCAATAAGCTTTATTGCTCAGAACATATGGCATTGCACCGTCCTAATAATACAGGGTTTTTTTTTCTTACCAGCGGTAAAAAAAAAGTGCCCGTTTCATAAGATACCCCAGCGGTATGGCTGACCCTCGGAGACCTAGCAAAATCTCTTTTGTCCTTCATCTTGTCCGATACATGTATATATACATCCTTCAGCGCACCCATCGCATCAGCTTTATCGAACTATTCCTCTCCTCCTCTCCTCCTTCTTTTGCCATCAGTTTTCACAATCTATCTACATCCTCCAAAGAATTGAGCTTTTTATTGATAATTTAGCTTTGAACTTCTTGCTCTATACATTTCCGTGCTAATTACTCATACCATCCATATCTGTCTCCATTTTAAGATCAATATTTCTCAATAGCATTTCACTGTTCATATTAGAATTTCCCAATGGTTATTGTTATGTTCTCGATTCGAAGGTTGTGTTAACAATGTTCATGCTCATACATCACTATCACCTTTTCATACCGAAATCTATTTCAGGCTTCTTTTAAAATAAGACTATGAGGCTGCTAGTTAGAGATCTGGTATTATACTCGTCAATAACACTTCTCTTAATCAACCATTTGTAGACTTACCGCTAAATACCAGCATCTACAGCAGCTATCATCAAAATTATCCAGTCACTATGATTCAAATCTTTATGGTCATACATGATCTTACAGTGGATCTCTTGAAAAGAGGATCGTTTACCACTGTCCATCATCGGCTTTTCTCTTTAATCTCTGAGTTGGCTGATCACCGAACATTGATTGCTATTCAAATGGCTGAGAAGTTTTACGTCATGGTTTAGGAGCTTTTTTAGATAACTTTTTTAGGTAGTTAGAATTTAGAATTTAGCCTGTCTTATCACTCTTATTGATAGTGGCAATATTGGAAGAAGCATATAAATGAAAGTAGCAATGCGACATTTGTTATTTATCGATGAATTTATTCGAATTCTTCCAATACTTCTTGAATATCATCTTTCTAATCGATAATAAGGTATCTGTGGCCAAGGGCCAAGCCAGAAGAGTATTTGTTACCCGTTGTAAATGTTGAATAAATATAACAGCAGTAGTGCTACAGGTAAGTTGCGTGCATTTGACAGCTCCACTTCCTACTATTCGCTTTGTTACGCGAAGGCAAAAATGCACGCGGAAAATCTTGCAATGGGATGAATTGATTTATAGCAGTGTTTTGTTTCCGGTTTACGGTTAAGCTTGGGAGAATCGATCAAGGTTGCCTATTAAAGATGAATACCTCTGAGAAAAGATTACCTCTGGTACATGGTACGGAACGATTGGTCACTCATTGGTTATCATTACGCTTTGATCAACTGCTCATCTATTATTCAGTACCCATTTTCTCAGTTCTGTTCCCATTCCTTTTTCGCTTTTAACAATGAGAAAGCCTGCATTATTACGATCGTTGCTGGAATGTAACATTACCATATACCACACAAAGTTATATTGTCCCCTGATTGTCAACAACTACATTAGTGTGTGTTTCTGTTCCAACCCAAGATGCGCTACCTTGCTAGGAAGCTGCCGAACAGTCGGAAAGTTGCATCGTTAGCTGATATGATCATCTCTTTCATTATAATCAATCGCTTCTCCAAACAACTGTTCCTTTCATCAAAGGATCGATGATGATGATAAAAAAGTAATGAAATTGATGAGTGACAAATGAGAGTATTTTTTCAATTCTTAGTAATTTTTCAAAATGTTTCAGAAATATTTAATGGTAAACTTCAGAAAGCTCAAGGTTGCTATGAGTAATGTATTTGGCACGTTATGAAGTAAGCTAACACCAAAAAAAACTTAAAACGAAATAGCAAATACTTCCATGATGATTTATGAGTAACGTTACTAATAAGTATAACGGTGGTAAATTGTGCTAATAAAAAGTTTTTACTTTGACATTGTATGGTGACATTTCCTCCAAACCACTGCTTATATCCCTCAAATCTGTGCTTTCTTTATTCTCTTCATTAAATGCCTCTTGAAGTTTTGCTAGCAATAAATATATTGTAGAGAGGATACAAACTTTTCCGTTCCAAAAAATCCCATATACTACAAACCACCAGAGCTGTGAAACAATCCCATCTTTTTTTTCTCATATCTCCTGACAGATGTATAACTATAGTAGCAGTTGTCTTCTGCTTATGTTTTAATCAGTTGAGGTGATGAATATTTTGGAGAATACCACAGGTGGAGTAATCTGTTATATTATCAAAGTACACAATCCAGATGTTAGTTACTCTTCTTATGCAAGCATCGATGATCGATCAGAATAGTATCCTTTTTTTGCTTCCTGCACTATCACTGATTATGCATCGTTTCTCACATTTTCCAGTCCCAGATGCGCCTGTTAAATACATCGTGATCACTATAAGTCCAGTGGTTGTTGTCGACGTGCTAGTTGATTGTTTATAGAAAAATTAAAGTACAGGAAAGCTGTTTCTGTAGAAGATCCAAAAAAAAAAAAGCATGCGACAAAGAAGGCGAAATATCTAAAATGAAGTATTGCGACATTTGAGGATGATTTTAAGTACGATTTTACTGGTATATCTAGTATATCCAATCATATCTCTTCTGACAGCCTACAGCAAACAAGAAGTAAGTACATTTTCTTACCTTTGACCATTCTGTTATTTTTTTTTCTCTTAAATGATTGAAAAATTGCCAATTCACATAAATAAATCTGTCAATAAACTTATTGTAGCAAAGACACATCAGCAGATGTTTCAGGTTGAATATTTGCAAGAATTCGGTTATTTGCCCAAACCAGCCGCAAATGTGGCGGCAATGCTCAGCGAAACAATGATAGAGGAGGCAATCCGAGAACTACAGCTATATGGAAATATACCAGTCACTGGGAAATTAGACGCTACTACTCGAGAACTAATGTCTAGGAAGAGGTAAGCAATGATTTTTCCAAAGAAAATTTTGTTTAAAGAAAAAAGCTCCTTCAAAAGAAATATTATGCGATCAATTACAGATGTGGCTTGAGTGATCGTCCAATTCAAGGTGGGCTTCGAAGAAAACGATTTGCGCTAATGGGACCGAAATGGACTAAACAAATTATTACCTACAGGTAATTCTTTTATCCTTTTGAAAGTAATCATTTCTAAAACCTTGTCAACTGCATTTTGATAAGGACTTGATTATTATTCTGAGATTTTCACTTCATTTCGTTCATATAGTAGGCTTAGAAGCAGCTCATAAGAGCTGATTAATAATTATTCAAGATTAAACTTAGCTTTGTATAAACAACCATTTTGGAACTTTCCCAACAAAAGTCGTCATGCATTTTCCACTTGATATTACAGTCACATTTTGTCTCTTTAGGTCTACTATTTAAATCTATATAAAATTTCAAAAAAAAGAACTTAAGAAAAAATATCCATTTGAAACTGCATTCCAATACCGGTTCAAATAAATCCTGATCGGCATTATAAGGATGTGAATACGTCAGTAAGTCACAGAAGTAGTAGTAGTAATAGCCCTAAGTCTGGGGACAACGATGACCATCATCATTACAAAGGATTTCTTTGTCATGAAACTTATTCAGATCATCGATTTATGTTGAAAAAAAAAAATTCCTCATAGATTTGAATAGATTGGTATAAAGAGGCAATTTGATTATATTGTAAAGGCGCAGTTGCTGAGTCATTTTGTAGAGGGTGGGGAGAATTTACGAATTGTATTTACAAATGAGGATGGAAGGGAAGGAAGTTGTTGATGTGTGCTAGTCTGCTTTCATCGCAGTTTCAATTAAGCAAAGCAAAGGGAAACATAACATTCAAAAATGTAAACTATAGTGAGCTATAACTTTGCTAAAGCTATCAATACAACGATCACTGTTGTTTCATCTGCTTTAAAGTAATGAAAAGGCTGTAAGATTTTCGGATTATCTAATGGTGATACGGTAATAGTTTAAGAAAGTGTAGAGAGAGGAAGAGGATGAAAAAGTGCAAGGTTTTCAGTGAAAATGCTGCTAGAATGAAGAAGTATGATATATCTAAGTGTTAAGTGTTAAGCCTAAAATCGTATGAGGGATGCTATGATGATAATGATGATGATGATGATGATGATGATGGTGTAGATGATGATGATGATGATGACGATGATAACCAAACGTATCTTTTGCTTACAAATAGCAGCTGTTATGCAGCTGCTTTCATACAACAAATATCATTCGCTGTTAATTATCTCTTCACTCTCTTCATTCATTGCTACTTTCTTCCATAGCCTCAATCCTGATATTTCGTGAGCTTACTACTATTGAGGCTCGTGTATTATTATTTTAATAATAATAATAATTATTATTATTATTAATTATTATTACTACTATTAATTATTATTATTGTTATTAACTGTTTATTATTATTATTATTATTATTATTATTATTTTAATAATAATAATTATTATTATTATAATTATAATTGTTATTATTAATTATTATTATTGTTATTAACTGTTATTATTAATTATTATTATCATTATTATTAATTACTATTACTTATTAGAATTGATACTGCTAGGATTATTGTCTCTTTCGTATTTATGAATAATGAATATGTTTATGACTGCCTGTGCAAGAATTGTTGCTGTTGCACACCTTCGTTATTAATGAAATTAATTCATCAATGATCGTTTGCTTGATTAATTGATTAATTAACCGATTGATCGGTTGATTGATTCGTTGTTTCATTGGCAGTTCAGCGTTCAGTGATTAAATGATGCGTTAGCGTTATATGACTAATATGTATTTGTTCATTAAAACTGCCTATTGCTACCATAAGCCTAATTATTATTAAATTTACTCATTTAAATGATGTCAAAGTCACTTTATCCTGCATTCTGTCACCTTTTTCCTCTGTCATTTTTAA